ACACCCCACCCGGCCACACACACACACACACACACACTGCCTGGCCTGTGTCTGCAGCCCCGGGCACTGCCCCCTGCCGCCCGCGGGCTGTCAGCTGCAAGGTCAGTGCAGATGACCGTCCTGTCCGGGCTGCCGTCCACACAGGCCTGGCTCGGCACCGCCTCTGGCTGTGCAAAGCGGAGCTCATTAGTAATCCTGCTTTCTTCAGGGGGTCGGCTTCTGCACGGGGCCTGGCAGGGCTGAATCTGTGTCTGCAGCCCCGGGCACTGCCCCCTGCCGCCCGCGGGCTGTCAGCTGCAAGGTCAGTGCAGATGACCGTCCTGTCCGGGCTGCCGTCCACACAGGCCTGGCTCGGCACCGCCTCTGGCTGTGCAAAGCGGAGCTCATTAGTAATCCTGCTTTCTTCAGGGGGTCGGCTTCTGCACGGGGCCTGGCAGGGCTGAATTTAGGGCACAGCCATGGCGATGTGGACTTCAGCACCCCCACCAAGCACACTAGGTGGTTCTGCCTGCATGCATGGCTGTCTGGCTGGGGTCGTGCCCCCCCTCGGTCTGGCCAGGTGACAGCGGGGCTCACCTCTATAATGGAAACTCTGCGGATGGCGAGGGGGTGCTGTCAGCATGCCCAGGTGCCCTGGGGCCAGGGCGGGCACTGGCTTTGACGCTGGTGCTGATAGTGGGGGTCTGCGGTGGTGACTGACTGAGGCAGGGGCTGCAACTACTTCCTGGGTGCAGAGAGGCTGGGGGTCAGGACAGGGGGTCCCAGTAACCCCTTGGCTGCTCGGGCGTCGTCCTGTGACAAGAGGCAGCCTAGGAGTGGTCCAGCAGGGGGTCCTTGTGCACAGAGGGGCAGCTGCCATCCCTTCCTGTGGCTAGAGGGCAGACCTGGCAGGACCTGAAGATGCTGGGGTGGGGGTGGCAAATGAGAGAAAAAGGGAAGGAAAAAGTCTGAAAAAAATAATAATAACCCAGAGCGGACAGAGAGCAGATCAAAGGAATGTGGGCAGAGAATCTGCCCACAGGAGCCCGCTGGCAAGGCAGGTGGGCGTGAGGGCGCCGCAGGCAGGCCCGGGGGCAGTGGGGCGGGGTGGGGAACCTGGCTGCCTGTCTGTTGCTGGTGGGTGAATCTGAGCAGAGAGCTGAGTGCCGGAGACCCCTAGCAGTGCCTGCAGCAGGGCCGCAGCCCCTCCTCCCTCCCAGCCCAGGTTTCCCCTGGAGCCTGGAGCCTTCTAGGTTATGCCGTGGTTCTCTTGTTCCAGGGCCACGCTGGATTCTGCCTCCTACTTCTGCTGGGCACTGAGCTCAGGGCCGTGACCCTCGCCCTCACAGTCCCTGGGAAACCCCTTGGCTGTGGGAAGGGAGGTGGCCTCCTGACACCTAGAACGTTCTCAGGGTGGGAAGTGGGGGAGACGCAGCCAGCTCTGGGCTTTCTTGTTGCTCCCTCCGGCCAGTGGGTCGGCAGAAGCCCCGGAACTGCGTAGTACCCAGTGCCTCCAAGCTGCGTCAGGTGAAGCATCACGCGCCTGGCAGTCTCGGGGTGAGGGGGACGCCGCGGTCAGCTTGGTCCCTGGGCCTGGAGGACCGGGTGTCTGCCTGGCTTCCAGAAGAATACGCCTCTGCTCCGGTGTGCAAGGGCCTCAGTGAGTGCCCACTAGGTGACTCCGTCAGGTCGCGCTGGCCGCAGCCCTCCAGCCAGCCTGCCTCTCCGCTGCATGCTGGCTTCTCCCTAACCACTGTCGCAGACCAAAGGCCAACCGCCATTGGGGACGCGCGGTGGCCGCACTCCTCCTGGCAAAACCCATTTTCCTTGGAGGCCAGCTTGAGTTCGCCCTGGGTCTCTCTCCTCCCCGTCCGTGTACCCTCGAGCCCTGCTGGGGCGTCCCCTGAGGAGGGAAGAGCCTGCCGCCTGCTGGAGCAGGACGCTCTGGCTGGGCTCCCCATAGGAGCGCCTGCCAAATGGGCCCTACACGGCCCTGACCTGTCCTGGTCATGGACTTGTCTTCCTTACGACATCTGCTTTGACGCCGGCTCGCCACCGCCTTGTCTGCCGCCTTACGTCGATGCGCCTTTCCTCCAGGCTGGACCTGCTCTCCCCGCACGCCTGCGCTGCAGGCTCCTCTGCAGCTCGAAGCCCTGACCCCCTAGCCTGTGCTGACTTTGTCGCGGCCAGCACAGAGAGGAGCTGGCGAAGGACAGTGGCCTGAGCAGATTCATCCAGCACAGGGGTGCAGCGCCCCCAGCAGGCCAGACAGGGGTGAGGGGAAGGACTGCTGCAGGGTCTGGGAGCCTCCTCTACAATGCAGGCCTCCTGCTGGAAGCCTCAGGCCAGCCAGGGGTGCCGAGGCTGCCCCACGCGGCAGCTGACCTGGTGGGACCTGCAGACTAATTTGGGGAGGGGTGGGGTGCCCTGGCTCCCCTGGGAGGGGAAGGAGAGATGAAGATCGTGTACTCGCGTGAGCCCCGCACAGGCGGCCAGAGAGGAGGAGGTGGCAGGGGTGGGCAGTTCGGGGCCAGCGGCCGCTGCAGCCAGCCCTGGTCAGCCGCAGCCCCTGTGCACCTGGGCCTGGCCTTCACGTCTCACTGGAGTTGCCGTCCTTCTCTGTACTTACTTATTTTTTTATTGTCAGAGGACCAGCTCTATTTTTATTTTACTTAATACATTTTTAAAAGTTTATTTTTCTCATCCAAAAGACGGTAGGGAGAACCTCGGGGCCCCACACCTCATTCTGCCCCCAGCACTGCCCCCTCCCTGGGCCACAGGTGTGTGCCCACACCCGGCTCCCATCCCACCTGGCTGGCACCATCCCGATGTTGTGCTGCCGCGCTGCGGTCTGGCCCCGCTCATCGCTTTCCATTGTCGACCCGGAAGGAAGTGTAGCCGCCTTGCTCAGCTGAGGACACAGCAGGCCAGGGAGCGTTTCTAGGAAGCCGCTGGTCTCCTGGAGCAGCCCTCCGGGGGCAGCAGGTGGTGAGGCACCCCCAAGGCCTCGCCTCACTGCATGGGCTCGCCTTTTCCCCCGTGCTGCTGCGGGTTTGCACTGACTCCCGATAACCCTCGGTGGGACGGCCTTCGTGGATGTGCGGCTATGCGCGGGCAGCGCCTTCTGCTGGGCACGTGGGTTTGAGCGGGGGCACGAGGCCCGGGGGCCAGGAGACAGCGAAGGCCAGGGAGGGAGCCGCGGGTGGGACAGGCCAGGGAATGCCCCACGGGTGGGTGGACAATGGGAGGAGGGCAGGGAGGGGACTCGGGGAAACCAGCTCCAGAACCCAGGTTCGCTCTGATTGGGCAGATGCTGGGCAGAACTCGGTTCTGATTGGGCAGATGCCCTGAGCAGGCGGTGCGCGGGATCTGATTGGGCAGTGTGCAGAGGGCCTGGGCTGCAGTTAAACAGGCCCGGTGCTGGGTGGGGATTGAGGCTGAGGCTGGGGTAAGCCGCAAGAGCAGCGAGGGAGCAGTGGAGGCGCCGGTCTGCCGCGTCAGGTGAGGTGCTGTCCCCCTGCAGCCCCCGCTTCCCGTTTCCTGTCATGAGCCCCTCCGTGGTGGCAGGGCAAGGGCGAGGCCTTCCCCTGGCAGGGTCAGCACACGTCCCGGCGGCCACACTGACCTTCAGCACCGGTCCACCCTGGGCCCAGAAGCCGAGGCTCCAGGAAGGTGTCAGCGCTCCCTGCTGAGCCCGGCAGGCCCACCCGGGCCACACACCCGGGCCACAGGCCCCGACGCCAGGATCTCAGCCCCACCCGCCTCTGCAGCCTGAGCAGGCCTGGGCCTGGCACACGAGGTCGGAGCCACGCCCGGTTCCGCTGCCCTGAGCGCCAGGGGGAGCGCACGCTTTCTGCTCCACAGGAAGCTGCTGCTCCTGCGCCTTCAGGCCCGGGGCCTCTGGGCGGCCAGGATCCCAGACACGCCTGGCCCGGCTCGGTGGCATGGGGAGGCGGTAGGTCGTGCGCCACGACCCTCCAGACGTGAGTGCCGGCGGGCCGTTCCCTCCGTGGTGTTTCTTGCTTTCTCAGGCGGTCCTGGATGTCTAGCAGAAGTGAGGGAGAGGGCAGGCGGTC